GACAAAGATTTGTCCTGACTGTGGGCAAGGCGGAAAACTCTAGCAACAGGTCTGCACCCAGAATCAGAGATCGCTGCCTATTTCTTTATCTTGCAGAAGAGAGAAACTGAAGCCATGCTTTGGTCAAGGTCAACAAGGGGCTGTTGTCAGAACTAACCAAACTTTGTCAAAGTCAATCTTCATATTTTTTAAAAGCTTACAGACAGTGCTGTAAACCCAGTGAGCACGTGAGACATCGATATGCATATTTTTTAATGTTTTAGTCATTGATAGGTTGTATTCTTTCACAGGAGAGAGAAGAGGCTGAATACGATAGACTACCGAAGTGAGCACGATAGTTGTCTGAACTGTGTGAGTATGTGTGTGTACGATCATGCACATGTTTTTATATATGAATATCATGAGTCTAGATTTCTGAGTTTTGCAGTTACAAATGCATCAGAGTTGGAGAAATATAACCCAAAATAGTGCCTGTTCAGAGCACTGAATATGCATTTCCCTATTTTTCAATTTGATACAATGTAATCTTGCTCATTAGAATACAAGTGTGGCCCACCTAACCTCAGCCGTCTCCTTGGGAAAAAAAAAAATCATGCCCTCTTAAGTGTTTCCATCATTCAAGTGAAAATCTAAAAGGACTAAACATCTTTCCACTCACAGCTGCCCGCAGTAATGGATTATGCCTTTGAACTTGCCAGTAAACTTCACGGTCCTCGTATAAATATCAAACTTGTCAAACTTGCTTTCCAAGGAAGACGGGTCATGAAAGGCTTATCTGTTTGGGGAGTAAGTTAATGCCTCAACTTCACCTCAAAGTCCCATCCTGAGAAAGTTTCAGTTCTAGAGAAGTTCCTGTCAGCTATCGGGGTCATCTCTGGCTAGGCCTGGAGGCTGCATTCACTGAAGTGTGGGCCCCTGTTCTCCCCACCTTCCACAGAGCCTCAAGCACTCGGATGAACTCTGTGCCTTCCTTTGCTCTCCCCTTTCTTTTGAGTCAGGGCACCCGAGGATCAAAGGAGTCCAAATGCATGAGGTATAGTGGAAAGAAATCAGTGAGGGTGTGCCAGGATCACCCCAGGGACCTAGGGGGTAGCCAGTACTGTGAGGTGAATAGCTAAATACTGCCCACCTGGTTCAATTCAGGGCTCAGGCTGCCCTCCCAAGGGGCCAAGGGCAATTTTTCTGTGTCTGTAAGTAGACAACTAACAGTTTTTCCTTTTATGGGAAATATATATATATATATTTCCCAGAACTATGTATTTGTAATCTGATAACAACCCCCAGCACCACTTTTCAGTATCAGATTTCGGGGAGCAAAAGAGAACGCTGCAAAGATTTGGAGCAGAGCATTATTCAAAACATGAAGGACGGCTTTTGCGCGGGCAGCCGTCGGAGTTCGCTCCCCGCGAGCGTTCTCGACGAGCTTTCATAACACAAAGCTTGTTTCGCTCTCAGAGGTCTTGTTAACTTCTTAACAACCCCCACACGGTACTGACCGCTTGGGCCACATAAAGAGCACTCCACGGGAAGATCAGGGGCCTTTGTTTGCCTCGTAGGTAGTTGAGGAATGAGCTTCTAATGAGAAACTTCTGGACTTCTTCAAACATGAAACTCGTGTGATCTCAAGTTTCTGCGGCATGCCCCAGAGAAAGGGCTGTGGGTTTTAACGAATGCAGTGGTACCGGCTAAGGGGAAATACAGGAGCAATTGTGGACCCCCAGAGCCGCCCCTTGGAACAAATGTTTCTACCTGGGCCTTAACAGAGACGTCAGACCTCTTGTGCTTTTTACCCCCATCCTCCCTTAACCACTCCCAGATCGATAGCCAGCTGTGTTGTGGTTAAATTTCAAAATCCTCATTTGGCAGCTTTGGGCAGTGGCGCGGGGATGGTTAGGAAGCCCGCGGCGCATGTTGGGAAGTGGCAGGCACAGATAGGCACTTTAAAGAGGCAAAAAGCCATCGGAGCACATTACCAGTGCAAGACCCAGTATTAACCACCTTCACGTGAGTTGTATGTTTGTTCCAATCAACCAGTGGTGCCAGATGTAAAATAAGCCTGTAAAGCTGCTCTCCACGTTATCATCTACTGCTGCTATGTTCAAACACCAGTGAACAAAGGTGACATCTTTCTTTAAACAACGAGTTAAAACAGTGCACACCACTCACAGCACATGTACATTGGCAGTACACCATGTATGTCCATACACACATACATAAAATGTATTGCTACACATAGGATAACCAAGTATGTAAGGACATGTATATGTGTTCGTATAGAATAGTTACAATGATTTCGATTACTGGGGACACTGAATGAGACTCTTGTTGCCGTTTTGACTTAGGTCCGATGTTAAAGAGATTTGAAAGGCCGGTGTCCCCCCAGACTTGTCCCGTAACACTGCTCTAGAAAGAGAAATGAAGTTCTGTGAGAACGTTCTCTGATGTTTGTTCAGCCAATGCACCCCCATCCATTCTTCAGACAGAAGCATCTGGATTTTTACCAGGGACTCCACCTGCTGATCAGGGCACTTGAACTCAAGAATGAGTACAGAAGCCAGGCCTGCATAAGTTGGTCACTTGGTACCAAGTGTCTCCAGTTATTTATGTATTTTTTTTTCTGGGATACCATAGAAGCCAAACCAGTGCCGAGGGTTGGGACCTAATCTTTTTGTTTTTCCTCACAGTCCTAGGGATGGAACCTAGTGTCTCATACCTGCTAGGCATGCAGTCAACTGCTGAGCTACAGCCCCCAGCCCTGGTGCAGAATCTGATTAGAATTGTTGGGAAATCAGGCATTGTGGAACACATCTGTAATCCCAGCACCTTGGAGGTAAAAGCGAGGAGATCTTGAGTTCAGGTTTTCTGGCCTGGGATCTAGTAGAGGGAAGGAAGAGAATGGAAGAAAGGAAGTAGAGAAGGAAGGAAGGGAGGGAGGAAGGGGAGGAGGGAGGGAGGGAGGGAGGGAGGGAGGGAGGGAGGAAGGAAGGAAGGAAGGAAGGAAGGAAGGAAGGAAGGAAGGAAGGAAGGAAGGAAGGAAGGAAGGAAATGACAGGTAGGGGTAAAGGGAGGAAATAAGGGAGGGAGGGAAGGGCAGAGGGAGGGACAAGGATGGGAGGAAGGGAAGGAAGGAGGGAACATTTTAAAATTAAGACGCTTTCCTCACAAACCCTGAAAATGTGAATGCCCTTCCCTGCTACCAATAGGGACATCTCAGGAGGAAGGGCCATCCAACCATGGAGCTGACTGAGGGACAGAATTGAAGCAGGAAGAGGAGCTCATCCATGCGAACATCATTTAAGCATCTGGCTCCAAGTGTGCCTGTAGCTGGTCCCTCCTTGGACTTTGTAGTTGATTTGATAAATCATTTTTTCTTCTAATGCATGAGTACTATGTTTTGTTAGGTTTTCTTTTGGGGGCTGAAAATGTACTTATGAAAGTGTGTTGGTTGAGTAGATTTGTGTTAGTAGTCTCATGATGATCTGCGAGACTGATATTACCTTCATTTATCAGATTCCAACTATCTAAGGCTTAGAGGACATAAGTAAGTTAACTCATTTGCCTAAGACCACCCAATGATGAAGTCATAACCCTAAAACTTGGTTTTTAGTATAAGTAAACCTAGGGTTTAAATGTGTCTTTAAATGTAAATATCTTTAGAAGGAGAAATAATTTATTCAAGCTATAAATAATTTAAATCTCAATTAAGTGAAAGAGCTATGTGTACTCTCAGTTCAGGAATGAACTTCAAAGGAAGAGGCATGTGGTATGAGGCCAGATGTGAGTCTGTCTAAGAAACACTTGGGGAAAGCCATAGCGAAGAGCTGACATTCACTGAAGACGTGCGCACATGTGAGCTGACTTCATTCTCTGCCAAGTCCCATGAGATAGATCCTATTTGTATCATCATTGTAAAAACAAGGTGCACAGAGGTGGAAAGGGAGATACCACATCACACAGCATGCAGAGGTAGGCTGCCCTCTACATCTGATTCTCGCCTGGTGGACATAGACAGGAGAAAAGAACTCACTGCCTGTGCTGACAAATACTCATTAATTGCCTTGGCAATGAACTCCTCTTGAATCCCACAGCTTCAAGAAGCTGGCTTGAGATGACATATAATCAGACTAACGAGTTCACTTTCAAGACTTTAAGGAGAACTCGCTGCTGTGTAGAAATATAGTTCAAGCTACCACTTCCCACTTAGATATCTAGAGACAGGTGGACAGACTCTCAGAGATCCAGGCTACAAGAGCTCTTATTGTTGCAAATTTCATCTCCCAGACTCTGAAATTCAAAGATGTTTATGGTTTAGAGAGGAAAGAGAAAATGTGCCCAAGATCTGTTGTGTCCTAACTGGTGAAGACATCATTAGTTGTTTGATAATTATAGACTCAATGCTACAGAACCTGGGTATCCCGAAGAGCTCTTGGTAATTGTTTTTCGCGACTCTTGAGAATTTGGATAAGATCTGAAAAGGAGCACAGCTGGACTATGGGGAGGTATATTTGGAGGTGACACACCTGAACGAACTGTGATCCTCAAATCTTCAGAGAGCTCATTGATAAGGGAAGGGACAAAAGGTCACCTCCAATACCTCTTTGAGCCTTGAGCATTTGAGTGGCCCCGTTCTCAGCCCATTTTAAATGGTCTGTGGCTTTTAGACAGTTCTAAAAAGAGCTTTGTCTAAAAGGAGTCTTTAGACGGTCCTGTATGACCCTACCCTAATTTCCCAGTGACATTGGGCTGGCTTCTCTTTTGTGGCGAAGGTCACACAAGAATATCTTAAAAGAAGATGAAAGGGAGGTTGAAGAAATGAAGAGAATGTAATTCTTTCAAAGCCCTACCATAAAGCTACCTCCATGTGCTAAGAATAATTTCACATTATAGATGCCTGCTACTTTCAGGGCTTTTATGTATAAATAGTAACTTTAGAGAAACTTGTATATGGTCATTTTTGCTCCCTGTTAGCAGTGCCCTTCTTATTAGACCTCAGATCAACAGTCAGGGCTTTCTCAGGCCTAACAGAATAAAAAGGGAGAATGATCCAATTTTAATCTAGATATCTAGAGACAGGTAGACAGACTCTCAGAGATGCAGGCTACAAGAGCTCTTATTATTTTAATAAAATCCATTAGAATATATATATATATTCTAATGGATTTTATTCCTTACAAGATTGTATAGGCAAGACATGAAGAAACATTGCCTTAAACTTTTGAAAATGCCCCATTTTAATTATTCTGTAAGAGGATAAAGTCAGTCTCCCAAAGAAAAATTATTACTTCATAAATTGGCATAGAATTTTCTACAGGTGTCTTCTAAAATTTTGGAACCATAGCCTAGAATTTCAAATGGTTGTTTTTGTGCTAAGTGGGTTCTCAAACCTGAAGGAATACTTATTGAACTTTCTTTCCCTATTTCATTCATGTAACAGAGAAAAGAAATGAGTCAAGCTGTGGGTATCTGAATCCAAATAAAAAGACTTCTTTGTTAAATAAGACACTTGCTTACATCAGCCTGGATGCATCTGAAATGCAATCTGTTGCTAGAAATAAGATATCTTCAGCCACTTCTGGGGAAATGATTTAGTATTTGAAGTGTGTGTCAGGTGTTTCTTGGCATGTCACATTTTGATCACAGTTTTATCCTTGTTTTCCTCCCAGGGGAAAAGCAGAGTTTCTCAGGGCTGTAAATGGGGAAATACCTTGCTATCAGATCTTAGAGTCTGGTAGATCCACACTGATATAAGCAGGCACTGACCAATCATAAGCTATACTCCAGATGAGTCTCAGCAATGAAGGAAACTGTTCCAACTATCTTCTGCTTTTTGTATATGAATTTTGTATCATCCATATTTGGTTCCCCTTCATTTGAGAGGGTAATGGAGAATGGGCTGTAATTGTATTTGACTCGGTGTATATCGGGGCTGAGGTCATTAGCTGGCTATTATTTCTTGGCATTATAAATTTCTCTACTTCTATGATGAGTGTCCTTAGATTCCACATATGCCTGGGCTTTTTAAAATTTGAATTTAAGAATTTCTCTAATACCCTTAGAAAATAAAGATTAATAAACTGTGCCCTACATTAGATAAACCAAGCATGGATAATTACATCCATTTTAATAATTTGCCTTTATAATAGTCTTCCATAAAAATAAATCAAAAGTACTTAGATTTGATTACTAATCGGCATCTCTCATACACAGCATACAATAAAATGTAATTTACTTAAAAATCAATACTTTAATGGGAACCAATTCTGGAATACCAAAGCATATAATATAACAAGTAAGCAATATCCTTGGGATATTTCCTGCAACCTGTATTTTGCCCAGGACATTTTCTGTGGTGGTTCCAGGCCTGAAACTTCCTTTAGTTATAAAATGAGCCATTAGTTTAATAATCATTTCCTGAGAAAAAAATAAGAAACTTCATATTAAATATCTACTTTTTAATGTACCAGTCACAATAGTAAATAGATACTTCAAATTATATAATCTACTTTCTTTTGTCTTATAAAGTATGAATCTAATTATACTTCATATACATTATACAAACATCTATTAGATCATGTTGGCCTTGATATATACATTTACCATTTTTCCTCTGAATTCATACCCTCCATCTTCATATTCAAAGCATTCTTAAGATTGACAGCATAACTTCAGTATATAGGAAACATACTAAGCTATTCAGTCTGCATTTGCATTTAGTAAACAGTACTGTAGTCTTAGTTTGGGGGTATTCTAAATAGATTCCTTATTTGTAGAAGTCACACAAGAACTCTTTAAACTCAGCCAGAAGATATTGACAGATGTTCAGGTCTTTCCACATTCCAAATTCAAGAACAGATTATATTAGCTTCACATAGCTTCGAATATTCTATAGTCTTTGCTAAGTAAGTGTTTTGGCAATTTCTACTGCCTTTAATTATGTGTAGCTTGCTGTATATACAATGAACTTTCATTTTGATTGTATTTTCCATCATGATTTTATTGGAAATAATGAATTTTAATCTTTAGTGAAACCTCAATGGCAAGTGAAGCCACGTTTGCCAAAACTCTAATTAAGGTGACAAGAGAAAGTCACCTCTACACACAGCTGATCCCACATATGTGCCTTCAAAGATTGCAGCTTCACAGCGACTCCCTGCTCCGCACTGAAAGGAACATGAGACCCAATATCTCAGTAGTTTCTTTAAAAAATGAAATAAAACTTGTACCTTGTACTTGGGTATTTCCATTTTTCAAACCCCTATAGCCCCTCCCCCCATATTTATTATTAAAACTTCTATGAATTTTTCAAGGCTTCTGTATCCTCTGGCAGAGTAATTTCTCTCTCCTGTAACCTCTTGTGCATTTTATTACATGATTATTTATGCATTTGTCTCATTTATTCTACTAAATTGCAATTATTGAAACATGCACGGAGGACCATGCTTCTCCATGCATACTTAGCCTGGCTTCTGGTGGCAGCATTGCATATCTCTGCATTCTTCAGAGAGTCTCATCAAAATTCACTCAATGCAGAGTATAGGTGTGATTATGGCTATGCCTTATTAAATAGCCATATTGTGATGTTATCAAGCATAGGAATTAAGAGAGCTCTAACTCATGGAATACTTTTTTCTGGGAAATGACATGAAAAATATTTAGTGATAGCTCAGGGTTGTACCTGCAAGGGGTACACTCAGCACAACCCTCAGGATACAGCCTAGTACAGACATTACTCAGATCATGGCCTCCATTTCAGGAAAAAAATAGATACCCTGAAAGTTGCTGAAGGTCACATGCAATTTTATGTCATAGCCAGTGCCCCAAATAATGAGCCCTGCTCTTTCCAGCCCTCCTCACACTGCAGTGTTCAGATACTCTCAATCCTCCAGCTACTTCTGTCAGGCCTCTGTTCCAGCATCCTTTTATAGCCTCTCAGGTCTGACTCAGATCTCCAGAGTCAGGATGGGGTGGGAAGGATCTTCATCAGTTTCTCTTTTGCTCAGGCTAAGAAATTAAAAGCATATTTGTAATTCCTTGTTTTAAAAATGCAGAAATTGACTCTGTGGGGCTAGCTGTTGGTAAATTGCTTGCTTTACAAGCCCTGAGACTTGAGTGTAATCCCTGGTACCCACATAAAAAGCCAGGCATAGTCCCTTACATGTGTAATTCTAGTGCTGAGGAGGAGGAGACAGGAAGGTCCCTGTGGCTTTTGAGGCAGCCAACCTAGATGACTTGGTGAGTTCCAGGCCAGTGAGAAATGCTGCATTAAACAAGAAGAAGAAGAAGAGGAGGAGGAGGAGGAGGAGGAGGAGGAGGACAGTGTGGCTATCCCCTGGCTTTTCCATGCACATACACAAGCATGCATAAATACCTGCATGTATGCATACACACAAAGCAGAAATTGAATCTGCATGAATTTTCACCCTTGTATTTTTGCTGCAAGCGGATCCCTGTTAGGTGATGGTTGGCAGTCCTCTTGATGTGCTAATGGCCCCATGAGATTCAAGAAGGAGACTTTGAATTCCTTCTTAGAACAGTTTCCTGGGGTTTGTGTCCCCTCT